CAGCGATCGTTTGGGCGTCTGCTCTATTTTTTTCGCAAGCCGTGGGTGAACTGCGTCAATTCTGGCAGGAAGTCAAACCTAGACATAAGAGGCAGGCTGGTAAATTTAACAAAATAAAGCATTTCAAAATACAATTCCGCGATAGTCAAATGTGTTCGTAAACAGACACTGCATAAAAACCACACGAACACACACACACACACACAGAGCGAACTTGTGCGTGTGTGTGAGACCACGTGAAGGGGGTGTGGTTTTGGCTGTCTTTCAACCAGAGCAAACAGGACAGAGAGGAAGAAAATCATAGGCCAGCTATTAACAACTGGTTCACATCATAGCTTCACACACACACGTACAAACACACACACACAAACAAACAGTAAGGTTGGAGGGGGGTGTCGAGGAAAAGAGCAGAGGAAAGGCGGAGAGAAAATGGAGGACACCAAGTGGTAAAAAGAAAAACTATGAGGCGCGCCTCAACCGGAGCGGAGAAACAAGTGTCTGGTCTGAACTGAGGAGCAGTGAGCAGCGGCCGAATTTCGTGAGCGCTTCGCCTCCCGGCGCTTCGGCGGCTGGTGTTTCCCCGGCGTTAACAGGAAGAAACCTCCAGAGGATCCTGGCTCAGTATAAGCAGCCATCCGCTACGACTCACTGGGGATCAAGACGAATGAGCACCAGCACCAACAGCAGCCCACACACACACAACCAAGGCCGGATTAACCATATGGGCAACTGGGCAATTGCCCAGGGCCCACGAACTCTAAAGGGCCCAGGGCAGCAAGGGCACAAGCAAAATACTGTATCTGTAATCTCCCGCTTTATATTAAACTAGGGTGACCGTACATCCTGTTTTCCCCGCACATGTCCACTTTTCACTCTCTGTCCGGGCATCCGGGGGGTTCTTGTATTGATGAAAATGTCCGACTTTTCATCCAGGAGCAGGGATCGAATTATGGGGGAGCTGGATATCCTACACATCCAGGGGAGCCGGAAAAAAGTTTTCTACTTATATTACATCATTTATGGACTCTTCTGAGCAGAGAGCACAGACAGTGGCACAGCGATGATCATTGGTGCGCAGTGCTCCAGGCAGCTGCTTCCAGCGCACAGTCCATTCTCAAAGTGGCGCAACCAAAAAACTACAATTGGCACACGATCGTTCATGTCCGCACATGTTCTCTACTTTCTGTCTTATTTGCGCCTGAAGCGCTCTGCCGCTGCGGAGCTCATCATCTGTGCTGCGGTGATTTCACCTCACTGACGCATCGAAACGCGCTCTCGACTTTGCTGGTCAGGAGATCCCTTTGATCTGCTCAAAAGTAACTGATGAGGTGAACAAGTAAGAATCCAGGCAGCAGATTTTCTGGAGAGTTTAGAGGAGGTGCAGGAAGATGAGAGACAGACAGGACAGGAAATAGTTCAATAAAAACAAGAAAACAAAGTAAAATGGAGGTAGATTTATCTCCACTACATGTTTTTACCTGTATAAAACAATAAGTTACACACATGCACAAAATGCCTGAAGTCCAGTATCAAGGACTCACAGTCAGTGATGGTCTGGGGTGCCATGTCAGCTGTATATTTCAGGTGGGGCCGTTGACTCCTCCCCTCTCCTGGGACTTCTTTTGCTGCTATACATCTTCGCCTCCCCTCCCCATATCACACTTGGTGTGGAGGGTGGTGCCTTGGTCTGCCTGAGTGTTTGCAGCTCCCGGGTCAGGGGGTTTAAGATTTTTGGCATCTGCCTGATTAATCCCAGAGGCTGCCTGGTGGGATCTGGGTCCCTGGGCTCTGTTGGGTCCTCGGCGGGGCTGGTCACCCCTGGGTCCCAGGTCACTGGCTTACGGGCTCGGCCGGCTTGGGGGTGGGAGGCTGCGGGCGGGCCTGTGGGCTTGCCGCTGATATCCCCCGAGATGCTGCTGGTTGTGGCCCCCCGGAGCAATCCTCTGCGCCTCTCAAGGGGGGCAGGGGCTTTTCTAGTCACAGTCTCCCAGGGGTCACCGCGTTCTGGGGCAGCTCCTGGATCTCTGAGACTTGGAGCTCCTTCCATCTCCTACGCATCTTTGGGGGGCAGATCTGTGGCCCCTCACACTCGCTATTGACACTCCTATAGAGAACCCTTACATATACAAGCACTGGTACGCACACAGCTGCTCACATGGTGCTCTCATAAGTATGAACTTTGGTACGTTCAACACATGTTGGATGTGGCTGGCACTTAATGCATTGTGATTTTAATCGTGATTGTTCAGTAAAACAATGTTTTTATATTTTCTCATCAGGTTGACGCAGTGATAGCTTGCTCCTGTTGTATTGTTGTGTCCCTTTTCTTTTTCTTTTTTTCTCTCTCCTTCTGCAGGTCCAGAGGCAGACTCTTGTTCATAAATGTTTGTTTTCGTGGAATTTGTGAGAAATTTATTACTAAACAATTTAAACATGTCAATTTAAAAGACAATTTATAAAAGCTTTGGTATTAAAAAGCAACCCTGTGTTTGGATGAATCTAAGGTGAAGTGTGTTTTGTTAGCGGGTGAATGCATGTATCAGAACATGTATCTTAAAGAGAGGACGCGTTGTGTGGAGAAAGAATTTGGTTTTGTCAATAAGCTAAGTTGTTCTTATTAAAGAGCATTCAGACGCAATCTGTGTTCTACCTCACCATCAGGCAACCCTCGTCGTGGATCCGGAGGTCAGAGGAGGATGTTGAACAGCCTCAGGGTACTGGGTCCGGTAGGGAAGACCGATGGTACCAACTTCTCCGGTCCTAGAGATGCCGCAGGCACACAGGTGGAATTGGTTTGCGTCTGCAGATTCTTAGTAGCATCAGCTTGTTCTGCAGGTGTTGTTTTGTTGTGTCGGAGCAATTCTGCCAGCGTGACAGAAATCGCTTGTTTGGTTAAAGAGCGTTGGGCAGCCGTCCCAACCTTCCGTAGAACTCACTCACAAATGACAAGAGTTCTGTTTTAAAAAATGGCTGTTATCATTTGGAATGAAAACTAGCAAGCCGACTGTGATGTTGTCAATGAGAATCACTGATGGATCACCCTCTGAAAAGGGGACAAAGTGTGTTGTTAGGAAGGCAGATGCCAAAGATTTTTTTACTGCTGTTAATAAATGCAGTTTTTTTTAAATAAGCCTTGCAAATTCATGCTTCCAAACTCCTTTATGCAATGCCAATTACTTGTACTTGTATTACTTTGCACAAACACTATCCATCTGCTCTTGATATGGCTCCTCTGTCAAACTTTAGAACCCATTGTGGCACACAAGTCAAAAGGTTTGCCCACTTCTGATCTAGACAGATATAGATATGTAATGTGATGAAACTGGAATAAAACACCAAACCAGAGCAGAAATGCAGATGAGAACCATATTGAAACTTTCCTATAGTATAGCTGTACCAATGTTTACATTCTTACACCAGAAAATAATTAATATAAAAAGCACCAATTCAATGCATTTCACATTGAACAACACAGTACAGTCAGCAAAAAGATGTTTATTAACATTTTTAAACCAAAATAAGATAAACAAAGGTGGGCACGAGCTGTGCTGCTTTGGAGACTCTGAACCACGTTATTTTATTAATTTGCTGTGTGTGTCCTAATAATCATGTGCTCCGCTGCCCCCCCCCCCCCCCCCCCCCCCACACACACACACACAGCTGTGTCTTCCAATTGATTTTGGAAAAAGTGTGTGTGTGGGGGGGAGGGCATTGCCCCCCAACTCCAATCATGACTGAAGGTCTAGATTTTTAGGCCAGTAAATATGCTAAATTTTAGGGGGAAATAAGAAACAGTGTCAGTGGGTTAAACAAACTGACCAAACCAACATTAGTGGAAGAAAGAAAAAAAAGACAACCTAATGAACGAAGGTGACTGAAAACATGTAAGAAGTTTTTTTTAAATCGAACGTTTAAACAGAAATGTTTACTTAAATCCAGGTTAATTACATAATGCTGATTTGTAAAGTAAAACCTCGTGTATTAATCTCCTGAAATCATATGTGCTTGATATAAATGATGATATTTTCCAGGTTTTAGAAGTACTTGAGTTTTTGTCGGTACTGTTGAAATTATGCTTGTTTGCATGATCAGAATGTTCAATAAAATTACATCTATGCAATTATACCTATAACTTCTATTTGGGGGTTAAGTTAAACTTTCACAACAACATTTTGCACAAGTAAATTGAATAATTTTCCAAGATTTTGTACAATTATATTTTTAAAAATACAGGATTTTAGTATATTTCTGTATGTCATGAACATTTTAAACATTAAACCATGTGAGGTTTTTTGTCCTAAAGGCTAATGTATAAAATAAAATCCCATGTTTTGCAAACATCAACTACCTTTTAGGTTGCCCAAATGAAGATTTAAGCTCTAACAAATACATTTCTGTTTTAAAGGAGAGCCCTGAGAGTATCAGGGCACACAGAGATAAGAAGATAATTACAGCTCTCACAGTCCATTTCCAGGACTAACCTTTGTTCCTCAAATCAAACATAAAAGGCAATTCTCCATGTTAATGAGCTCAATCACTCCTCCTGAATGCCTCAATAATTGATTTGCAGGGAGATCTTCAGACATCCATAATGAATAACTTCCACAGTGAATTATTTACTAGTCATCCTTCGTGGCAGAGCGTGTCGACTGTCACTGAATCACCCGGTGTGTTCAGCTGCCCACTCATGCATCAGCGTGGGTGTCTGTCTGCGAGTCTCCTGTCAGTGTTTGGGATCAGAACTGGGAAACAGGAGTGACATCCTGTTTGAAGAGGCTCTGATGCGTGTGTAACCAGCTCCCCCATCAGCATGACGCAGGAACAGACACTTAGAAAGAGTCCTCTAAGGCGTCACAGCTTCTGAAGGGAATTCAGTATGAGCTTCAGGAATCTGGAGCAGACTTGGAGCTAAAGTGGTTCACAGGCTGCAGCTGGAAGTTTTGCAATCGAAACGAACATAAAGCTGGCAGCACAAGTTGTTTTGTTTATCTTGGTGGCAGATCAAAGTATTAGCAAATCCTGTAAACTGCCCCCACAGACTGCACCAATGAAAGCCCTTGTCACAGTGGTCAGTCAGTTCTGGAGCAGCAAAATAAAAATTCAGCAGTCATGGCTTTAAAGGCAGCACTCACTTGGCTCTGCTTGATCTCAGGTAAAGACGATTCTGGATTCATGTGGTCTGTGTCTACATTTTGAAAGGTATTTATGCTTTTTATTTGCTTTTCTTGAAGGCGTATCATTTTCTGGTGCTGCAGAAACTTCACCCATGAACTGTGACTCAGCGCTGTTTATGAACCTGACAGCTGGGCTAAAGGTAACCTATGTGCTCTTTTTATTAGATGAAAATATGAATTAATTACCTATCTGCATCAAGGACCAACGTTTAGGGAATTACTCACATTTTCTGCTTGTGATTTATTTTCAGTTGTTTCTATGGTTGCTGAGGAAGAATTTTAAAAAAGACCTGTTTCAAAGGTTTTACTGACAATTACCTGGAGTTGGTGCATAAAGATAAGGTCTTTTGATTGCACTTTCCATCATCCAAGAGGCAAACCAAAGTGCTGCACACGTACAAAACATTTAAAACAACACATGGCCAACAATAAATTATAGGTAAAAACATGAAACTAAACCAAAGAATGTCGGTGAAAAACAAGATAAACTAATTAAAATACAACTGGATAAAAATTTGTCAAGTTGTCTAAAATTCTCTAAAAATATAGCTAACTCGTGTGCTGAGGGAACGCCACTGTGTAAAAGTGAGTCTTCATCTCTTAAAGGAGCATGGGGCAGGATGAAGAAACGAAACTCATTAGTGACGCACTCGGCGCTGTGAGTAACTGCAGCCCGGCACGAGAGCGCGCACAAACTCTTCACGAGAAAAAAAAAAGTTACAGTGATGTACGGCCAGAGCGCGGCTCGAACAAGACACCGTGTCGAGCGATGAAGTAAGTAACATTGTTACTTTAGTCTAATATTTGTAAAGTTCCATGGCAACATTAGCATTTTAATTTAGCCATGACACTCGTGATGTAAAGCAAATGCTCCTTCCTAAGAAATATTCATAAGCCAGTTTTGTGACAGGCGAGCAAGACAGTAACATGATGCTACTTTATCAGCATAAGGCTTTGTGGCTGCAGGTGATTTCTGATGTTTTTAGACCAATTACAGTTATTATTTTGCACTAAGCTTACTAACAAGCTAATGTTATTGTTTATACATCATGTAAGAACATCCAATTTCAAGTCACTGACATCATTTGTGAAACCAATTTCATTACAGGACAGGCATCACAACAATGTAAATAAGAACATAAATATCAATGTTTAGTTCAAAAATGCATCAAAATAAAATCATAATATCAACAAGACCTACAGGGTAATAGTCATTTTTATCATTACTGTCATTGATTTTCAGGAATTCATATTGGAAGCAGTGATGGAAGACAGTTCAGATGGAGTGTGCCCGAGCCTGCCACAGACTTTGATGTGTCGTGGGAAAGTCTGAGACCAGGGGCTAAAGGAAAGGGGAGAGGAAAAGGTCACTCCGAGGGTCGGGGAAGGACACGCTCAAGGGGTGAGGGCAGCAGGTTGAGGTCCAGAGCTCCTTCAAGAGGACCAGGGCGCCGGGGTAGGCAGTGAACAGCTTTCAAAGAAGAGGACCGAGACCGGCTTGCACAGCTGAGAGCTGCCAGTATAGCTGAGATGCAGGTTGGTTATAGCCATTTGTGTAAAAAAATAAAATAAAATAATAGATGCCAAAAACGAAAACATCACTCACTGGAGATATGAATCTAGTCATGTAAACATATGCTCTTTAATTTCTAGACAGCTTTACAACACCTGAGCCAGGAGGAGAGAGATTATATTCTCGAGAGAGTGGTGACCCGTCTTCCAGGGGTGATGCTGGATATCCTGGAGTTTCGGCAAGAGACGCCAGGACACCATCTTCCTGACTGAGGGCACCCTAACCCAAAAATCCAAACCGTTTATCTACAACTACAGTAGTTCCAAAACAGCACAATACCTCAAAATAACTTTAGCTGAAGACAGCATTTTCACCCAAAAATGAACAAACAGTTTGTGCAAAATATTTATTTTTATTTATGTACAAAAAAGTTCTGTTATTTGCATTTGTACATAGTATTTTTTCTTAATTTCTAATAAATCTGTGTGCATGAAAGAAGTCATTCCTGTCTCTTGATGCTTCACGTACCTGGGGCCTTTATGGAGAGAGAACAGCAGCATTAGATCATACATAGATTACATGAGAATGCAGTTCTGAAGTTGACCTGTAAAAAAACAAAAGCAACAACTTTATAGATTATTAGGAATCACACTTTTGATTGCCTTTTCACCCACAATTGTCATTTCTATATGTACATTTTCAGCTTTGATATTGACACTTTAGGTTTTTTGCTTATGAAAATGTTATTAATATACCTAAAGGTCAGATACTTGGTGACATCCTTCAACCAGCGTCTGTTGAACATGATTCGTTGAAGAGCCTCGTGTGGTGGAGATCATGGTACCACGAGCTCTTTATCACTGGTCGTTGCATCAAGTGGTCCATGGTCACATTTGCCACGGGTCCATTCATGCTTCCCTGTGACATGGTGAAGAACACCCACCCACATGTCCTAACAGAAAAATAAGTTTTATTTGAAAACTTTACATGTGACAGAAGCGCTCACCAACAGAAACATGAGAGCTGGCACTATTATGAAAAGAAAGGTAATTATGTCAATGTGCATTGTTGTCTTGTTGTCCAAAAGATGTCACAATACTTACATTAAACATATCACGATGTTGTGCTTTCTGACAAATGTACCAAAATTGGTTGAAGATGTCATTCAGCCACACAAGTAGGATGGAAATTCCCTTTAGGATCCCAGCTTGTGAACAAGGATAAAACAACAATTCCATCTTTTAGTTCTTTTTAAAACATAGAAGGGTTTTATTTACCTGCAACGTTTTGTTTGCGGCTGCAAACTTCATCAGCCTGACAAAGTTTTCATAACAGTTCTATTCTGTTATGAAAACAATAAATAAAAGTAGAATTAATATATTGTTTTAAGACTTTGGAGTTTAAAAAAAAGAGTGTAGATAAGAATAGGGCTGGGCAATATGGCCTCAAATCTATATTGCGATATAATCTGAAGCATGTGCAGTAACGATATATATTGCGATATATTTTTTTATCTGTTTATAGATGTCAAATTGACATGCTTTTAGATATCCTCATGTGGCAAATATATGCCACTTGAGGCATATAGGCCTCCTCCTCCGCCCACTCCATGCTTGCAGTCACCGCCATTCTGTTGTCCCATTGTCAGCAGGGTGCACATCTTAGTGACGTCATGTGTTATCACAATATCGCCGTATTGCGATATAGCCAAAAACTATCATTACCTGTTACAGACGTTGTCTGTTTTGTGGCCACAAGGTGGCCTCAGAGCTCCTACCTGTTCACCTGGCTCTAGCTGAGCCAGGTGTCGCTAATCTTCTCAGTCAGGGAGCTTCCTATAAAAGGCAGCTCCCTCTGTCATTCGAGGAGGGAAGCTTAGCAGAGGCCTGGTGTTAAAGCGAGTGTTCCTCTTTTTTCCCTCCTAGCAAACCAGACAGTCTTCGTTTTGATTACCTGTGTGGTACACTTCCTAGTAGCCAGAGCTCGTTTTTGTCTCCATTAGAATACTCGTTAAAGAGTTCAGCTCACCCTTTTGGTGTAGCCTTTTGTGTTTGTCTCATTCCTTTACTTTCCCGGATTAGTACCGGCGTTTTGTGTTTATTAATAGTATTGTTATTTACCCAGTATTGGATGATCCTTCTGTTTAGTATTGTTAATTCCCCAGTGGGATGTCCTTTTGGTTTTGTATTCATTTTGTCTTAGCCTGCATAAAGCAGTGTTTTTTAGTTAATAAACTCCTAAGAGAGTAAATCTTGGTTTTGTCCGGTAATTCACATATCTTTCTTTACGCCCCCTTTAACATCATCTCCTAGATGAGCTGGGGGCCGTAAAATTACCCAATTTTATATCATTTCTACCTTATATCGTTTATATTGCCCACCCCTAGATAAGAAGACATTGCAACTCACACACTGTTGAGTAAGTTGTTTGCTTGGTCCTCATCAATTTGGACTGCATCCGTAGCTAGATCCATGGATTTGAAACGACAGACAACACAATAATATTTGTTGTACGTAAAGATAAATACTGGAACTTACCTGAAATGGTACTGATTCTAAAGAGATAAATGTGGAGCCTAATACATCTGTCATTAATTCTTTCTGCAAATAACAACAATCTGCTGTGAATTGACACTTCACAACATAAATATATATAATGACATATATTTGCTGAACTATTGTGTTTTTATCTTTTTTACACATATTACAGCAGTAATTTCCTGCATATATGGCAAAACTTCTCATGAACATATTTACCTTTCTTCAAAAGGATCCAAATCTAGGTCATCAGCTAAGGCCTCAACACCAGCCATTAGAAAATCTTCCCTGTAAAGATAATGTCAGAAGTGTTTGGTGGTGTGATGTTAGTTCTGAACCAAGTGTGGATATGCAAGGTGTAATTTAATGTATGAAATATCATAGCACAAAAACGTGAATATTTGTTTTACAGTAAAGATACTAACCCCTCAGACACAGGTTCAGTTGGAGATAATCGATGCAACATTTTAGCTGCTGTTCGCTTACTGGGTGTTGAGGTTGACTGCACATTACCTCCCTGAATTGCAGTTTCAGGAGCCTGCTTCTCCTGGTAGCTGGAAAACATATTTTTAAGCAAAAATGTCAACAAGTTCGTTGAGACTCTACACCTTCTGTTTACATAGATCAATAATGGCTAAGCTTCTTTACCTGTGGCACAACTAGTAATATGAAAATGCATGTCAGTCATAAAAAAATTTATTTATCATTTTCACAAACATATTTTATTCTGACCTACATTCAACTGGACAAATTTAGAAAAATAAATACAAACTTCTGCACAACTTTACTTTTAGTCAAACGTGTTGTTATGGCTGACTTATTTATGGCGTTTAAAGCGTGCCACAACCCGTGCACGCGCATTGGGTCCACAGCGCGCGTGTGAACGGGACTCGCGAGCGCAAATATACATGGCAGCGCGCCTGTGAACGGGACTCGCGAGCGGAAATATACATGGCGAGAGGTCATTTGTGCACTGAGAGGGAGCAAACTGTGTCTGTGAGCGCACAAGGATGTGCACAAGTGACAAACCTGCGTGCGCGCGTTGTCAACGAGCACACGGCAGAGGAGAACGTGCGCGCGCGGCAGCCTCTGTGCGCGCTCGGCAGCCTCTCTGCGCGCTCGGTTTCTGACTCCTGCTCGCTCGGCTGTAAGGGCTTTTGGCACTCTGGAGGCGTGGCCTGTGGCAGATCTTCTCTGTCCTCTGATTGGTTAGTTAACCCCGCACTTTACCCTCTATCTATATAAAAAAGTCTGATATTCAGTAGTTGCTGGCATAGCTCAGCTGGAAGAGCGGGTGACTCTCGGCCCGGAGGATCCAGGTTCGAGTCCGGGCAAGGAAAATGCAGTAGATGTCATGTTAATTTTTCTTAATTTCAGGTATTTTACAGTTGTGACCGTTCAACTGTCATTAAGCGTCCGAATGTTTGCTGGGCAGTGTTTTAAAAAGTGCACATAAGCTAGATGGTTTTAACCATATAAAATTACATTTTTGGTGATACTGGAAAAATACATACTGAAATAAAACTACTGGTTGAAAACTTTATGACTGTGGTTGTACAATATATGACTCACTAATACACTGCAAACTCCTTAGAGTGGGGCTTCCAGAGAGAGAGAGAGAGAGAGAGAGAGAGAGAGAGAGAGAGAGAGAGAGAGAGAGAGAGAGAGAGAGAGAGAGAGAGAGAGAGAGAGAGAGAGAGAGAGAGAGAGAGAGAGAGAGAGAGAGAGAGAGAGAGAGAGAGAGAGAGAGAGAGAGAGAGAGAGAGAGAGAGAGAGAGAGAGAGAGAGAGAGAGAGAGAGAGAGAGAGAGAGAGAGAGAGAGAGAGAGAGAGAGAGAGAGAGAGAGAGAGAGAGAGAGAGAGAGAGAGAGAGAGAGAGAGAGAGAGAGAGAGAGAGAGAGAGAGAGAGAGAGAGAGAGAGAGAGAGAGAGAGAGAGAGAGAGAGAGAGAGAGAGAGAGAGAGAAGTTCTTGCCTCATTAATGTATTGTTTATTTTTTTCAGTATTTAATTGACAAATTATCCTTTCAAATAATTAATTGATGAGTTACATAATTGTCCATTTAGAATTGTTGAATGGACTGAGTAAAGTTTGGTGCACTTTATATATTTCAAAACATGTTTTTTTTAATGATGCATATAAATAATTTAAATGTTAATTTAATGAAATATTTCTATTTTTTCATTACCTCACCCTTGTTTTGACAAAAACTGAACCTTGCTGGATAATATCATGGAGAAACTATTTGTTCACAGTACATGGCTCAGTGAGGATCTGTGTAAAGGAGGAGATGCTCAGAAATCTGTCTGCAGATTGTTACAACCCAGACTGGAAGTGGTGGGCTGTAATAAGAAAGGAGACCAAACAGAGGAGTGGGGGTTCAACAACTGATTTATTTAACAAAAGTAAGGATTTACTAAAGCAAGTTAGTGAACAGAAAATGGCCAGTGAGGACTCTCCACCACACAGGAGAGACCCAGTGAAAGCAGAAAAACAGTAGGCTTTGTAGGCAGCACCACACCCTGAGCCCAGGTGCCTCCAAGGCTGCTTAACGAGCTGCCTACAACAGAAGAAAAACACAATTAAACACAAATGAAAACCCAATGAGACGGTGGGGGCATCACAACACGTTCAGGACTACCCAAACACCAGTAATTCTTGACTGCACTGATCTGCTTTAGTAAATCCTTACTTTGGTTAAATAAATCAGTTGTTGAACCCCCACTCCTCTGTTTGGTCTCCTTTCTTATTACAGCCCACCACTTCCAGTCTGGGTTGTAACAATCTGCAGACAGATTTCTGAGCATCTCCTCCTTTGGTATACAGATCCTCACTGAGCCATGTACTGTGAACAAATAGTTTCTCCGTGATATTATCCAGCAAGGTCTTGTTTTTGTCAAAACAAGGGTGAGGTAATGAAAAAATAGAAATATTTCAATAAATTAACATTAAAATTATTTATATGCATAATAAAAAAAACATGTTTTGAAATATATAAAGTGCACCAAACTTGACTCAGTCCATTCAACAATTCTAAATGGACAATTATGTAACTCATCAATTAATTATTTGAAAGGATAATTTGTCAATTAAATGCTGAAAAAAATAAACAATACATTAATGAGGCAAGAACTTTTTAAACTTGAACATACCTACACCCACAAGTCTATTTTTACCTGGTTAAAACCATCTAGCTTATGTGCACTTTTTAAAACACTGCCCAGCAAACATTCGGACATTTAATGACAGTTGAACGGTCACAACTGTAAAATAATATCACAGGAATTAGGAAAGAATAACATGAAATCAACTCTATTTTACTTGGCCGGACTCGAACCTGGATCCTCCAGAGTGAGAGTCACCCGCTCTCCCAGCTGAGCTATGCCAGCAAATGCTGAATATCAGATTTTTTTATATAGATAGCTAGAATGTAAAGTGCGGGGTAAACTAACCAATCAGAGGATAGGGAAGATCTGCCACAGGCCATGCCTCCAGAGTGCCAAAACTCCTCACAGCCGAGCGAGCGGAATTAGGAACCGAGCGCGCAGAGGCTGCCGAGCGCGCAGAGAGGCTACCGCGCGCGCACGTTTTCCTCTGCCGTGTGCTCGTTGGCAACGCGCGCACGCAGGTTTGTCACTTGTGCACATCCTTGTGTGCTCACAGACACAGTTTGCTCCCTCTCAGTGCACAAATGACCTCTCGCCATGTATATTTCCGCTCACAAGTCCTATTTCACACGCGCGCTGCCATGTATATTTGCGCTCGCGAGTCCCGTTCACACGCGCGCTGTGGACCCAATGCGCGTGCACGGGTTGTGACACGGGTCTGACGCGATACTTATTATTTATTCTTATGTAGCACAGCAATAGCGCTCGGAAAATATATTCTGATGGGGTTCTGTTACACAAACCCCACGAATAACATTATCTACTGAAGTAACAGTCCTGCTTAGAGGTTGGACTGTAGATCAAATATGACATAATTCTAAAGACTCATCTTTGGTTTGGAAAATGTCCGTTCTCTTCTACAAACTGAAGCGTGATCGCAGCTAACATGCTAACGCACGCTAGCTCTCTCCGGCTGAGCGGTATAATCAAATCAAGCTCTGTTTACTTTTCTCGTCAGAATAAACGGAGCATCCATTTATCTCCAAACACATGCGGCGTGTCGTCCACAAAACGTAGAAGTGATCTGATTACACCTTAGTTGCTTTTAGCTTTAGCCATATGCTAAACACCGTTAGCTTAGATAAGTTTCTTGTTCATCTGCACAAAGATTTGTTAGATTACCTAAATCAGCATTATCTAAATCCATAAGTTTAATTTTATTTTCTCAAATTGTGCAGATACAGCTCTGATATGTTTACCTACTCGTTACTGAAACCTACAGCAGAAATAAGGAGACCAACACTTACCTGGTCACTAGAAAATGTGCCATGTCCGCATCCTTTTTCAGGCACCAAATCCAGTTGAAGCAGCCTCCATTTTTCCAGAGCGTAACCAATAGATATTCGGGTCCCTGACCGACTTTTATCATATTTTCTTTTTGACTCTCGAGATGCCGCTGATAAAACCTTTTTCTTTGTGCCACTCTTTAGTGGGCTTTGAGTTGCGCTTGGTCGTTTGCTAGTTCATTTCCAGGGTTCTTCCTCTTCTGTTTGAGGTTTTAACGTGGCTAGTAGTGAAAGACACATTACCGCCACCTAGCAAGCTTCCAAATGTTTTTCCGGGTTTGAACCTTGTCGAGAACGCGCTTGAAGCGTCAAATAACGTCACATCCTTAAAACAGCGCGGGAAATTCGGATGCGACATGTTTTGCATTTTGAAGCGCACAGCCTGTTTAACAAAATGGAATGATAAAGTGGTTTCATCATTCTTTTTAGTTTAAAATGCTTCATCACCCATAAGCTTCACAAGAATGAACATTTACTTTTTGTTTTTGGACAATTCTGCCCCATGCTCCTTTAAAAACCTGCAGTGAGAGTGCTGGTCTGACCATGAGTGGAAGGTCATCACACAGTTTGGGGGCCAAAACTGAGAAAGCCCTACCTCTTCTAGTCTAGCATTTTACTCGCGGAACGACTAGTAAGTCTTGCTACAATGACCTAAGTGCACGTGATGTGTTATAGCAGGTCAGTAGCTCCGACAGATAGCTAGGAGCACTGTCCTGTCGAGACTTAAAAACAAAGACAAGTAACTTGAACCTGACTCGGAAAGATACTGGAAGCCAGTTCAGATTGGCAAAAACAGGCGTGATGTGTTCCTGCTTTATGGTGCCGGTCAGGAATCCAGCAGCAGCATTTTGAGCAAGCTGGAGCCGATCAAGTGCAGCCTTGCTAACTCCAGAGTAAAGGGAGCTGCAATAATCAAGCCGAGAAGTAATAAAAGCATGGACTACAGTCTCTAGGTGGGCTTGCAACACTAGCGGCTTGATCCTGGATAGAAGATGGAAAAAGCAAGAGCGTACCACTCCACTGATGTGAGTGTCTAGCTTTAATAATGAATCCAGCTTTACACCCAGGTTAGTGACTAGCTTCTTCTTAAAGGGGGCCAATGAGGAGAGGCACAACTAGCGCT